AAACACAGCAGCGCCGCGGCTGGTCACCTACGCAGAAGAGGGCGAGGGCCACAGAAAAGACTGTGGCTTTTCACACTGCATACGACAGGACTGTACTGTCCTTGCTTTGTAACTGACAGAAAATGCAATATGAAAACAAAGTCAGGGACAGGCATTCACAACCCACATGAAATCACTGCTCAGAAAAGCAGGACCAACAAATACTGCCTGAAACACTCATCGCTGAGGCGGACGCTGAAGCTCACTTATGTTTACGTTTTTCTTTCCAGCCACTGAAGAAACAACCTAAGGAAGGCTGTCCCAATAAAGATCCTCAGGGAAAAACACCGAAATGACGGGGGTGCTTCTCTGACTACAGAAAGGGGCACGGGAGCGTCTCCTCACCCAGGCGCTGTGGCTGAGAGCAGCTCCTACTCCAAGGGCCAGACGACCTCACAAGCCCTCTCCATCATGATCAGAGACCCATTCTGCATTCTCGTAAGGGAACCAAAAATACAGCCTCTTTCCTTTTTCCTTGGGGAGACCCACCACTTAAAAATGCTTTTACAGAACTCAACTACCTTCGGATATCCTGGGAACTATTAGAGTTGACGATACTTTCTGCGGAGCCCCGAATTTACAATGCCTTCCATTGCTCCACCCACTGAGAACCAAATGACCAAATTAGCCTTAAAATACTCAAACGTGGGGGGCGCCTGGGGGCCAGAGTCAGAACAGCATCCAACTCTTGATTTCAGCTCAGGTCATGATCTCAGCGTTGTGAGTTCAAGCCCCACATCAGGCTCTGCGCTCAGCACAGAGTCTGCTTCTCCCTCTCCCTCTGCCTCTGCTTGTGCTCTCTCTCAAATACACAAATCTTTAAAAAAAGACTCAAACTTGGATTGGAAACAATGGTTAAGGAGAGGTCAATAAAAATAATGCAATGAAAAGGTTTCATAAACTCAAAGGGAGAAAACCCTAGAAATGTCACCGTTAAGGCAGAGCTGAGCACACCCCCTCTATGACACTTCAGCCTCCCAGGACGAGGAGTGCCTTCCATCTACGGCCTCCTCCGAGCCTCGAGTTACTAACAACAGCGCAATCTGATGGGGAAGGCTATGAATTCTCGAAGACACGCAGTATCCACATGCTCTTCTTCAATGCCTTCCCTTTCCAAAAATCATACAAGATCTGTCATCAGAAATAAAACTGTGTGCCAACCACGCCTTGACGGAGAGATCGAGCCACATTATTACTAAGTACAGTTCTCCCTAAGGCAAGACCTCCAGGTCTGTTTGGGGGCCCGCCTTCTCCTTGTCCAGTCTGTTAGCTATTCTCTGGCTGATTCCACCCAGCCGTATGGACGCTGCGATGGACACACACTCACCACCCCTCACCAGTCTGCGTCTGCTAGAATCCCGAACTGGCTGTCCCCTCGTCAACGTGTAGCCCAGAGGATCTACCTCGTATCGGGCGTCCACAGCTTCGTGACCAAACCTCCTCAGAAGGGGTGCAAGATGGACTCCAGGACATCACAATGTGCTCTGCAGTACGGGACGTGATAACTCTACACATCTTTCACAAGAAGAACAGAGCACGCAAATAGGGGTTAATATTTGCTCCATCACCACTAACCTCCGTAACATCATGAATGTTGCTTCAAAAAGCAGCTTAATCAGGACTCAAAGTGTGAATGGATTGGCTACCCCTGAACTGATCATGCTGAACTGTGTGATTTCTTACCTTTATCCTCCGAACTTTTAATCCTAAAATGAGGCGAAAAGAGAACAGGGGAATATTTAAAGGTCTTCTATTTTCATGCCCATTACAAAAAAAAAAAAATTAACAAAGTTGGTTAGAATCTTGATTGCCTAAATGATTTTTACGACAATTTTCCTAGTTTTAGAAAGCGTACCCTAAACCAAAGAATTGGGAGTGTTATTTCTCAAAGACATTCAGGGGAAGAGAAGGTCATTTTATACAGCAATCTGAAATGGTGGCTATCTATATTTTATTTTCTTTATCAAATTTTAGGTTCAAAATTAAATTGCTTTTTCTTCCAGGGAAAGAAAAATATCAGACATTTGCTGCAGTTCTGGGTCATCTGTGGCTTCTCCCCACAGGTTTGGATATGTATTTTTGTGGAAAGAGGAAAAAGGAGGAGAAAACCAAAGAGAAAAGGTAGAGTAGGGAAAAAGAGTCTACTAGGTTTTCAAGGCAACCGGACGTCATAAAGGAGTGTTACCTAATTCTGCCTTCGCTTTGCCCGCTGGTGGGCGGTCCACAGTTTCTGTCAGATAGCTGTGTCCGTAAGGGCACCCGGGTATCTTTCACCGCGCGTGGAGAAGCGCCTGTTAGCAAAGCTCACTACTTCAGAGGACTCTGACAGCAGTTTGAAGGGGAGCAGGAGAGGGGAGAGTTTGTGGGGCTGGGGGAAAGGAGACAGACGGACATGGAGCTTGTTATGCAAAGAAAACGGCTCTGACTGCATTCTCTAATTCTATGTGTATATAGAAGACATTTAATTCTTAGATGTTTAAAATGTGTGGGATGAAGGGGAAAAAATGCATGAGGAAAACACCCACAAACATGCAAACTCCTTAGTGTAGGAGGAGTGGCAGGTTTCCTACACTACAGTTTTCTCAGTCTGACACGCCACAGCCTGTTGACCCGCCCTAGAGTGCTGACCGCAGGACCCTCCACAATTCACAGTCATCACTAGGAGTCCATGCAGACACCAAACATTTCTAGATGTACTCAACCAAGCTCAAATTTAAATAATTTGTTATGAAAACTGTAAGATAAAAAGTAACTTTGAAAATTCACAGCCATGTGACATTATCTAAGACTAGTAGCATATATAATTACCAATCTTATATAAAATTTACAGCCATGAATATTGAATAAAATTCAGAATGGCAGAGAAATGCCACAATATAAGTTCAATAAATATAACATGTTATCTTTATTATAATCTGAAATATAAATTAATTTTTGCTTCAAATACTGCAAAAACCAATCTCTAGTCTAAAGCTACCAAATTTCGGTCAGAAAATCATGTGGCCTGAAGCAAAAATAAACTATTGGGACTACATCAAAATAAAAAGCTTCTGCACAGAGAAGGAAATAATCAGCAAAACTAAAAGGCAGCCTACAGATGGGAGAAGATATTTATAAATGACATATCAAATAAAGGGCTAGTATCCAAAATCTATAAAGAACTTATCAAACTCAACACCCAAAAAACAAATTATCCAACTAAAAAGTGAGCAGAATGGGGCACCTGAGTGGTGCAGTTACGTGTCCGACTCTTGGTTTCAGTTCAGATCATGATCTCAGGGTTGTGGGATGGAGCCCCATGTTGGGCTCTGTGCTCAGCAGGGAGTCTATGTGAGATTCTCTCCCTCTGCCCCGCCCCCACACACACTCATGTGCTTGTTCTCTAAAATAAATAAGTCTTTAAAAAAAAAAATGGGCAGAATGAATAGACATTTTGCCAAAGAAGACATCCAAACGGCCAACAGACACATGAAAAGATGCTCCACATCACTCGGCATCAGGGAAATACAAATCAAAACGTCAATGAGATACCACCTCACACCCGTCAGAATGGCTAAAATTAACAAGTCAGGGAACGACAGATGTTGGCGGGGATGTGGAGAAAGGGGAACCCTCCTACACTGTTGGTGGGAATGCAAGCCGGTGCAACCCCTCTGGAAAACAGTATGGAGGTTCCTCAAACAGTTGAAATTAGAGCTACCCTACGATCCAGCCATTGCACTACTGGGTATTTACCCCAAAGATACAAATGTAGGGATCTGAAGGGGCATGTGCACCCCAATGTTTATAGCAGCAATGTCCACAATAGCCAAACTGTGGAAGGAGACGAAATGCCCTTCAGCAGACGAATGGATAAAGACGTGGTCCATATATACAATGGAATATTACTCAGCCATCAGAAAGGATGAAATCTTGCCATTTGCAGTGATGTAGATGGAGCTAGAAAGTATACTGCTAAGCGAAATCGGTCAGAGAAAGACAAATACCATAAAATCTAACTTATACATGGAATTTAAGAAACAAAACAAATGAGCAAAGGGGGGATAAAAAAAGAGAGAGAGACAAACCCAGCAAGACTCCTAACAACAGAGATACACTGCTGGTCACCAGAGGTGGGGGGGAGATGGTGGAAACAGGTGATAGAGACTGAAATGTACACTTATCATGATGAAAAACTATAATAAAATGATAAAAAAAAAGAAAAAAATCAGATTGTCCGTCAGTTAAAAATACAGTTGGTAATTATGCAAATGCCAAATAAAAACGTAGAGTAAAATCACCTACTCGACCCTTAACACTTTGAAGGAAGAGGGCCTGAGATCTCCCCACAAGCACACCTGTGATACAGACTGCCACTCAGCACACCGTGCTTCCGAGTTTGTGCAGTCTCTGTCATCTGGATGCATGGCTACACGACACAGAAAACCCCCAGCCTCCTCTGCATCTAGTGCTCTTGCCGATGAGGTGTGCACAAGTGCAATCACGTCCCCTCCCCTTCTACCCTACTGACCGGGACACAGATGCCGTGTGCGATACCCCACCTCGGGCTGTGCAGAGGAGGCTACACTCAGCACAGCAACCACACAGAATGTCCTTCCATCCCGGAGCAAAGTCACTACACCAGCTCAGGCTTCCGAGGGAGAAAAGCGCATTTGTCTTGTGCAAGGTCTCAGACAGATGCTGCCAAAACTGATTCTTGATATCCTGAGGTTATGGGGTTAACGTAGTCCCTTTTTCTCAGATTACTGGCAGGATAAAATGTCTTCAATAGAAGAAAGTAGCACCTATGGGAAGGTTCCAGACCATCTACTAGGCTCAGTCTTCAGCTAAATAATGTGTGACTTCTCATCAGCCTTGCATATGGGCAAACGCAGCCAATGACAAGTTATGGCGCTCTGTAGGGACTTTCACCATACATGTGCAGCAGGCAAAGGACGGGGCTCTGTGCGGCTGTAACTTACATGCTGTGACTGATAGTACGAGGGTTAGTCTCTCTTTCCAGGTCCCGACTCCAGGATTCACATCTCTTCCAGCCATCTTCTGTCTTAATCCAGCTCCATCCAGGAGATCTCCAGTCCTGACCCAAAAATGGCATAGTTCTCCTATAAAAGAAGTAATTTTTTTAAAGATTTTATTTTTTTAGTTAATTTACAGAGAGAGAGAGAGAGACAGCGAGAGAGGTAACACAAGCAGGGGAGTGGGAGAGGGAGAAGCAGGCTTCCCGCCGAGCAAGGAGCCCAATGCCGGGCTTGATCCCAGGACCCTGGGATCACGACCTGAGCCTAAGGCAGCTGTCCAACTGACCGAGCCAACCAGGTACCACAGTAATTTTTTTTTTAAAGACCTTATTTATTTGATACAGAGAGAGAGAGAGAGCAGGAGCAGGGGAGCGGCACGCAGAGGGAGAGGGAGAAGCAGGCTTCCCGCCGAGCAAGGAGCCCAATGTGGGGCTCGATCCCAGGACCCTGGGATCATGACCTGAGCCAAAGGCAGACGCTTAACCAGCTGAGCCACCCAGGCGCCCCAGAAGTAATTTACTTTAAAAAAATGTATGTACAATTAACAGGTTTCCTTTCACTTATTCCTTAATTTTAAAGACCAAAGTTCTTAATATTTAAATGCCTCCATATACACTAAATGCTCAGGATAGACTGATGGTAACCCAACACCTCGGCCATACGAACACGGCAAGACAGGATATGCGCCGGTGGACTGACTAACCTGATACGGCGTCATGTCAGGACAGGCTTACCAGAGGTACCATCTCAGCTTGTACCTGTAGAGCCAGCAGGAGTCAGGCACTGAGGAAGAACAGGGAGTAGTACACCAAACAGAAAACACTCTGCACCAGAAATCAGAAGCAATGGGACACGAAACATATTCCTGGTGAGCACTGTACGTTCTTCAGTTTGGTTGAAGCTTACGGTGTGAGACTGGGCGTAGGGGGTGGTGAGAAGTGAGAATGGGAAGTGATCAAGTCAAAGGACTGGACTGTTGTCTGAGGGCAGCAAGAGGGCCAGAGAGGAACTTCAGCAAGTAAAGGATTTGATGAGATTCAAGCTTTACAAAAGCCTCGGGGTCACGCTGTGAGGATGGAAGCCAGAGCTGCCCAGGGCAGGGGTGGCACCGGAGGGAGGAGGAGTTAGGACCGGTGGCTACTGAACACTGGCCACCAGAAGGTCGAAGTGTGGCTGCACTGGAGGAGAGAGATTCTAGAAGCATTCAGGAGGCAGAGTTCAAGAGCAATCAAGGACTTCCGTCTTGCATGCTGTCTGGCTGGCTCTCTCACAGACTCCAAGGGAGCCAGCTGCCATGTGCTCAGCTATCCCAGGGAAAGGCCCACGGGGCAGGCACAACGTGCCAGAAAGGCTGGATGTGTGAGGGGAAACCAAAGAGCCAGGTTTAGCTTCTGGCACCTAGAGATGTTGATTCAGTTTTGGACAAGCCTGTTAGATTTGCTGAACCCATGGTGATAGGCACTATCCTGGAATCCATGTGTAAGAATCCAGGTGTAAAAATTATGACCTTAAATATGATGACACAGACATTATTACTTTCATGAAGCTTGCAATTTGGTGAGAGCAAGACCTCAAATACTAGCTCTTCCATTGTCTCTCGGTTCTCAACCCTTGCTGTGCATTAACATTAGTCTTGGAAGCTCTTAGAAAATACAGTGCTTAGCTTCACCCCAGACAATTAAATAGGAGTATCTGTGGGCAATGGGAATGCACAAAGGAGCTCAATAAACACCGCACGAAGGAATGCATATACAGATCCATCGCTCGGGAGAAAGGGGAAGGCTGGAGAACAGGAAACTCATGAACATTCAGGTAGAAGCCAAACCCACAGCAATGATGCCAGAGAGAACACATAGAGCCTAGGGAAAAACGCTGAGGGAGGAGGACATTTGAGGCACAAGCGATCAATAGGAGCCCAGAAAGGGAACTGAGAAGGAAGAGCCAAAGAGGTAGGAGGAAGGGAGTAGGAAGTCAAGAGAAGAACGTATTTTAAGAAAGGAATGATTGACAGAGAGGGAAATACTTATTAACAAGCTAGCACAGTAAGAATTGACAAGTATATATTGGATTTAGCCTCAAAAAAGTAGCAGATAACTCAACCAAAAATAGTTTCAAAAATGTGTTATATTAATCTCACATCCAAAGTAGACTTGGAGCATTTCACTAATGTGGAGTATTCCTAACAGAGTACCTGGGAGAAAGAAGTTTTCAAATATAATCTCCCAACTATATTTATTATAACTAACAAAAAAAACAGGCTATTAAGTAAACATTTATACTGGCTTAGAATCTGAGACAAAAAAATTAGAAGGAAATTCTAAGTCTTCAACAGTATTCCTGGGTCAACTCTAAGTGCTCCCTTCCTTAATGAAACTTGATTTTCCAGGAAGAACATCTTTAACAGTCACATATTCACTCAAATTCTTATTTTAGAAGATACTTAAAATCATTATTTAAATCTCAGCACTATTTTTGTAAGTATCATCTTTTAAGATGTTTGAGACAGAGAGAAAGAAAGTGAGAAAGCACAGCGACAGAGGGAGGGGGAGAGGCAGACTCCCGCAGAGGAGGGAGCCCAACGCGGGGCTCGATCCCAGGACCCTGGGATCATGACCTGAGCCGAAGGCAGACGCTTCACCGACTGCGTCACCCAGGTGCCCCTGTAAGTAGCATCTTACAGACTTGTTTCAAACTACCAATCACCCTAAAATGCAGGAGCTACTACCACGTCCGGTCAGTTCATCATTATCTAAAGCTGTCTCCAGTAGTATGCGCGCCTACCGAAGAAGGCAAGTGCAAACCATGATAAAGATGCTGCTTAAAAGGTAATTTAGTCTCATAAAACACATACGAGAGAAGAACGTCTGTGAGGACCATCTCCGACAGTTGCCAACATTATCTCCTGGTATCATATACGGTGGATTCAGAAAAACCTATATTAAAAAAAGTGGCAACCATGCAGAACACTGCTGCACAGACCAAATACAGACTACTCCCACGACAGTTAAACACAGACCAAACGTGTTATTATGCTATGTGTCCCTTCCCTGAACGTGTACTATCTAGTCCAAGAACTAAAAAGACAACAGCCACATCTTCTTTACCCATTCATCAGTTGATGGCCATTCGGGCTGTTTCTATAGTTTGGTTCTCATGGGTAATGCTGCTAGAAACATCAGGGTGCAGGTGCCCCTTCAAATCTGTATTTTTGTTTCCTTTGGGTAAATACCTAGTAGTGCAACTGCTGGGTCGTGGTGGGGATGTGAGCTAGATGGGGGATGGGCATCAAGGAGGGCACTTGTGATGAGCAATGGGTGTTATATGTAAGTGATGAACCACTGAATCCTACTTCTGAAAGCAAAATTATATTATATGTTAATTACAATTTTAAAATTTTTTGAAAAAAATAGGTAACAGCAAATAAGAAAACTCACGAATAATATACATAAATATATTTAAAAGATTTAAAAAATGTATATGTATGTACTGAATGAGCAGTAAAGAATAACTAGAAGAAATTCAGAGTAAAAAGCAGACCATTTGGGACCTCTGAAGAAAAACCAGGGCATCATCTTGGCCTTAAAGCACAGTTAGATCTTAAGTAAATGGAGAGACCAGGGGAAAAAAATACCAATCACAGAAATGGTGGGCAAACAAACACGTGACACCTTTGAGAATAACAAACAGAATAGGCTGGCTGAAATAGAGAAATCTTTGGGAAGGTTGGTAGGCAGTTTGGAAAGGTGACCGGAAGCCAGGTCATGGAAAACTTGTATGTCAAAGCTGTTTGGACTTTATTCTCCAAATAATTAAGAGTTTTGGGGCAATGTAGTGATAGGAGCAGTGCTATTCTGAGAATAACCTGCCAGGTCCTGTGCGGTAGATGAAGTGGGAGAATGGAGGCAGACAGCACAACTCAGGCAACAGAAACTTCCTGCCAACACGTCAGCTAACAGACTGTCTTAAAACATGATGACGCACAAACATTGCCCTTGTCTATGTAGGCACTATGCCCACAATGCCCACTCACCACTTAAGACACTTCTATTCAGGCCCCAAAAGCAACTCCTAGAACATTTAAGCGAAGTTTTCACTGTAAAGAGTGAGCTTGGTGTTTCAAGTAATATAATCAATTCTTTTGCAACTACCTCTGTGAGAAATGAATATGGTTAGCCTGATAGTTCAGGTGCCGTTTGTATTTATATGGATTGGAAGGAATGAAGCCCAGCCCCATGGACCATGGAAATAAAAAACAGGAATTTCCAAGGTTTTTATCTTCAACACAGATGAAAAGATTTGTTTTGCGTAGACGTGTGGATTCCATAGATGTGACATATGTTCTTTGCATCACAATGAAACTTTATTTTAAAGTATAATCCTATACAGTTCATGAACTAAGGCAGACTCTGGAAGAAGAGTTACCACAAACAATAACAAAATCCATCAAGGGAAAAGCAAGAAAAAAAGACAACGCGCAATTCGAAAGGCCTGGTATCAAATTTTCAAAAATACTCCCAACCTGAGGCATCTAAATTTGCAGATCGGAAATATTACTACACTTCTGGAATGATGAACAACCCAACACTTTTTATGGAAATTTATTTATCTGTCCTGCTAAAAGACTGAATTGCTGTAACTTTATGTTTTAATTAAAATCACATTTGTTTTGAAAAATTTCAAATACAAAAATAAAAGCAAAACTTACTCTTCAAAATCAAGCACAGAAGAGCAACTCCTCAAAGGGCAGCTACTCAGTTGCAAATAGCTGGTACGAATTGCAATTTCATGCACGTTTCACTCTAACTGACTTCAGAGAGCATCCAGGGCTAAGTCTTACAGGTCTTCCCTTAATCTGTGTTGTAGGTGGCATGAGGTGGAAGCACAGGACTTCTCCAAGTTGACTGGCCCGTGGGAACTCCCAAGAGAAGAGACGCAGAACCAACCAAGAAATGTCTTCCTCCAACAAGCAACCCTCCTTAGCTAATGATAATCCTAGCACACACTTATGAGACCTTAGTATGAGTTAGGCTTCCTCTGAACAATTTACCTGCACCATCTCAGCCCCCACAACTGCCCTGAAAGACAGAAAATGTCACCATCCCCCTTTTACAGCCTTAATTCTCCCATTTTATAGAAGAAACTGAGGCACAGCATCTGGCAGAGCTGGGAATCACATTTCTGAAGTCTCCAGGGCCCATGCTCTATCACTATATTTTTATAACAGCAATTTGTGAGCACCCTGTGAAAAGAAAAGGTCATAAAATTGTGGGGTTTTTTTCAAAAAAGTGTTACCTTACATTACATAAGTCACCAGATATGGTCTAAATTAATGACTGATCTAAATATAAAAACACTAAGGAAAAGATGCCAGGAAACATAGTCTAATACATTTTAAAAGGCTATGTGTACTTTGCTGTTTAAGTTAGATGACAGGAAAGGTTGAGTAACCAGTACTCTGGAGCCATGATTAGGTTCATGTTCCAGACAATAAGAGCAGTAAGTGTAGAGCTAAAGTTAATGCCATGCATGGTACACCCAGATAAAAAGAAAGTTACAATATAACTAATAGTTTTGTGTTTAGCAAAAATAGGTGGCAAATGAGTTTCTTTTCCCCTTATTCCTTATGTTTCAATATAAACTGAGAAAACTTTCATTGCTCTGTGATAAGAAAGAATGGTCCCCAATTTCATAAGCATTCGATCTCTTTTACTGCTTTCTTATCCTTACAAGATTTCCGAATAACTTAGGGTCAAACGTGAATATGGTTTTTAAGCTGGAGGAACTTGGTCCAGAAAGAACATCAAGAAGCAGTGAACTGAGGGCTGACCATAAGAAATTTCCTGTGAGAAGGCCTGAGAGGTGGTCACAGATGCTTCAAAGAAACAGAGACGAGGAAATAAAGAGGGAGAAATGCAATCTGAGGAGTATGAATTCTTATGAAAGAATGAAAAACGTGTCTTCTGGTTAGGGCTGGAGGATACAGATTTGGAAGAGGCAAGAAAAGAGGACTTCACAGATAAAGGCAAGGATTCTTTAGATGCCTGAGTTTTCAAAAATGAGTTTGAATAGGCCCACAGAGAGCCGTGGAATCCAGGAAAGAAGGGTGAAAACGAACTTATGGTGAAGAGAAGGATGCAGAGCCCAGGCATCAGCTGCCAGTGCAGGGAGGCAGGCTCCTCGAGGATGCTGGAGCCATGCACGAGGACCGAGGGCCAGGCACGGGGAAGAGCTGGAGCCCTAGAGGAGTGGGGACCGAGGGCCAGGCACGGGGAGGACACCGGAGCCAAGGACGGGGACCGAGTGAGAAGCTGGAGCCGCAGCCGAGGACCGGGGCACCGGGGTCGGGCAGCAGGTGGGGCGCGGACGGGGACCGCAGGGCGGAGGCGGCAGATGCCCCCGGGAGAAAAGGGCTCGGGGCGCGCGGGGGGGGACTGGGACGGACACGCTGGCGGGAGGGGCTCCGGGAACCGTCGGAGGACGCGCAGCCCCCGAGGAAAGCTCCCGCGGCGCGCGAGGCCAGGGCGCGGCGAGGTCGGGCGGCGGCAGAGGGGAGGCCGCGCCGTGCGGCCGAGGACCGCTCCGTCCCCACCCGGCGCGCCCGGGGCCCCCGACCCTACCTGGCGCGGGGAGGGCTGGGGAGGGGGTCACCGTCCCCACCTGGAGCGCGCGCCGCCTCAGTCCCCGCCCGGAGCGCAGACGCCCTCTGTCCCCACCTGACGGCGGAGCGGAGGTTTATTGCCGGAAGTCGCCCGCCGCCTGCCGGGGAGCCTTGGACCAGAAGCCCCGCCCCGGGCCGCGCTGATTGGCAGGTGCGGCTCCGCGTGGCCGTGTTGCTACCCTGCTCCCCGAGGCCGAGACGCGCGCGTGCGCAGTGGGCCCCGCGCCGCCTCCTTCCTGCGCGCGCTCAGTGGGTGCGGCTGGGTGCGCGAACCCGCGGGCGTGGTGCGGGGCGGCGTCCTCGCGTGGGCGGGCGTCCCGCCTCCTACCTGTGTTTGTGCGGGAGGAGCCGGGGAGGGCCGGGAACCGAGAGGCCGTCCGCACCGTGGTCACCGCGCAGGTCCGCGGGCCCCGGTCTTCTCCAGGGTCCAACCCCGCGCCTGCTCCCCGAAACCACCTGAGCCTCAGCAATGCAGCTTCCGTTGGCCCACCGAAGCCCCGTGCCCCCGTGAGCTTTAGTCCTTAACCTCAGGCTCAAGCATTTCCCGTATATGAACAATTTAGAATATGCACATCTTTCAGGAGGGTTGGAAACGCCCGGGAGGGCCAGCTCGCGCGTGTGGGCTTCTTCCCCAATCTGGGAACAAGGATGTGGGTGTCAGCGGGCGGCAAGGGTAAGGTCAGCGGGTCAGGAGGCAGAGCTCGGCTCCAAGCCGGACTCGGAGGCTTGGTCCAGGAGCGGCTGCTGAAGAGCTGTGGGCCCACGGAAGGCCTGAACCACCCTATGCCTCATTTTCCCCGCAAGTAGAGCAGGAGTGCTACTTACCTCACAGGGTTTTGCTGGGGTTTTTTTTAAGAATTAAATGACTTAACATATGCAAGATATTTAAAACGATGCCTGGTGTATAGTGAGCTATATAGAAGTATTTGATCTTAGTATTTTTGTATGTGGAACACATTGTAGGAAGCACAGTAGGTATTCATATTTTGAAAAAATGCTTTTTAAATTATTTCTGATGTGCTTATTACTGTAGCATTCTTTGACTGCATACTTTTAAAAATTTGTTGTGCTGTATTTGCTAGTAAATTCCTATAATTGGAATTGTTGTATCAGGGATAACTGCATATAAAATTTTGATAAATGTTGCCAACCAAAACCCACTACACCACCATGGGAGCCATAAGAAGAGTATTAAGTTTAGCCTAATTTGCCAACATCTGTGTAACCCCTTGTGAGTTACGGGGCATACTGAGAGGAGGCAAAGGTAACAGGAACCCGCAGAGTAGAAGCTGGAGTCCCCACACAGTAAGGAGAGCCCACAAAGCCATTCAGATCAATTCTGGTCCACCAATCTCTGAGAGCACACTGTGCTCCAGTTACTCCATGCTTACCACACATGAGCATGTCCACTGCCCTCTGGAAAGCCCGCCAACGGAGGAGGAGACGGGAGCAGGGCAAGAAAGATTGCTTCTACGAGGTGGAGGTGTGGCTGGGGGTGCAGGAGTCATGGGAGAGGTGTGCTCAGTGTGCGGAAAGTGACCTGGGAGAAGGTGCCTGCTTACCTGAAATTGTACAGGCACTCAGTTCATCTACTAGTATCTCTTCAAGGTGAGGGAACATGTCACATTCCTTTGTTTGCTTTAAAATAACCCAATTCTGGTAATATGCAAGGATTTGGGAGCACTGACACCATTGCAGTCTTTCCCCCCAAGTTGGGGTCTCTCATAGCAGCAAGCCAGGGCAGTCACTGGTCACAGGCCATGCTGGGTACCTCCAGGCCTCACTGGAGGCCTGGGGTGATGGCCAGCACAGGGACCCCCCTGCTTCCTGAAGTACACTGCACAGCCATCTCCCTGACCTCCCCAAGGGCCACCCAGAACAGGGCGAGCATCCCCGGTCCTCTTGGCATGAGCTTGACTTTGTCCCCTTAAGGCTCAGAGATGGTCTCTCCTCCTGTTCCCCTCTCTGGAACACATCTATGTCATGGAATCTCTCTGCAGCACATGAAGGCTGATTCAGCTTTCCTCACAGCAACAATACCGAAGTAAGGAAAACCAGACCAGATCAGCAAAACAAATCCCCATCACCTTATGTAGTACCTAGTGTCTCCAGAGTCTGGGTCATGCAGGCTCAAGCAGGCACCGTGAGAGATGCTCTGAACACACACCTGAAATCTGCAGGTGTCAGGAGCTCACAATTCAAAGCAGATATAGGATGGCAAATACGCAGTGAGAAAACAGGGCCACAAAGACCACAAGGAGGTTCAAAATGAGAAGGGCACCCAGGGGCAGAAGCAACCCCCTCTGATGGAGACGCCTCCAGGAAGCCCTGGGAGGTCACAGGGGCGCTGAGTTTCAGAAGCCAACAGGCCATAGCAGGGAGGCAGGACGCAGGGTCAGGCCATCTTTTTGTTTGCTTGTTTGCTCTTGGTGTCAGGTCTCCTTATATGTCAAGTAGGGATTAGCATAGAATTTTGGGGGTTGTAAACTAAGTTGGTGGCCAGGAGCACACGGTAAGTGTGAGACGTCAGAACGGGGAGGCTCACATGAAGACAGCAGACCCACTCACAGCGTCTCATCCACCAACTTCTGAAGCTCTGTACTTGACAAAACATACTGATAGTAGCCTCGTTCAGCTCTGAAAACCTGTCTGTGCAGCCTAGCTAGCATGATGCCAGCTGGACGTGATCCTGGATGATCCTGGACTGACGGCACACACTCGGGAGTTCAACAGACGCGGGATGGTCGTCTAGATGCCTGGACGTGTGACTTTGGGCAATTACAACCTCCTGAGCCTTGGCTTCTCACCTGGAAATGAAGCCACTGGTATCTACCTCTAAGGCTATCAGGAATGTTAAATATTACTATTTGTATGCATTCTCCAGCAAACTTTATTTGTCTCTATCTTTCTTGCATGTTTTGGGCAGTGAACCAATCTGCGTGTAAAAGGTAAGGCTACTTAGAACTCTGCTTATAGATATATTTACATTAGTACATATGGCCCAGCACATCCCAACTCCTAGATATTTATCAAAGACAAATCCAAACATGTTCACAAAAAGCACAGAGTATTAGCGCTGTACTCCTAGTGGTAGTGGTCAGTGGAACCTAGAGATCTATCCACAAAATAATATATTAACAAACTGTGATGTATTCATGTGATAGAGTACTACTCCCCCGTACAAAAAAACTATAAAATTGCTACATGTAACAACACGGATGAGTATCACCAATATTATCTTAGTAAAAAGAATGCAGACACAAAAAAAGAATGTACTGTAGGATTCACGGGATTCATTCATATAAAATTCTAGAATAGGCAAAACTAACATATGGTGATAGAAATCCCATCTGTGGCAGCTTCTGGGGGCAAAGGGAAGGGACAGAGGCAACTTCCCGAGACTATGGAAATGTTCGTTGTTGTTTGGTGCAAGAATGTGAACGTGTTAAATCTGATTTCCCATTTCACTCTGTTATACCTCAATAGGCCAATATGTATTTTACTTTGGGAGGAACATTTTGTCTCTGACATTCTTAGATCTTACACAACATATTGAATTAAA